GTCTATTCCAAAGTAGGAAGTGTTATGAACAGCTGATCGGATCGGCAAAGCCTGTTTCTGGAATATTATGTTTTTGTTGCTGCAAGCGCTTTTTATGCAATTTTTGCAAAGCTATATGTGGAAGGAAACCGTGACCTAGGACAAGCTGATGGCATAAGATGTAAGTACAACAACTCCGGTTTCATATGCCAAAAAAATTTTTGTGCTAGCTTAACGTGGTTCCGGTTCTACAGGGATTTTAAAATAGTTATGCAAAATGGAGCGTGCCCACTCCGACCGGTTTTAAAGGGTTAAACATGTGTCTCATCACATGTGCCAAGCTGTGAAAGAGGGCATGGGTCATTATCAGCAGAGGTTTCAGGTGAAACCACTGTGAGACCTTGCCCCATCCTATCATGTGACCCACTGAGGTCACATAACCCAAGTTGTGAGTGGGGGTTCAGGCACCTGGGAAGGGATCTCAAAACTAGATGGTAGGTGGCAGACTGTCATAGGCCACCCCCTCGGTTCAATGGTGGTCGTTCACAGCGCACATAGATGGACTCATTTACTCCTCTTGTCTTCTCTGTCCAATGTGAACATTGGTCCCCTTGCTCTCAAACTTGGGTGTCCACGCTAGTTATGCTACATTTGAAAACACACAGTTTAATTAATAATACAAATACAGACTTGCAGCTCTAGTCTCCATATAAATCTACGACAGTGCCCCCCCAGGCATGTGTGGGAATATGTTAATATGTGCATACTCACCATTCCATACACAGGCACTTGCGGTGTGGTCATGGGGAAAGCCATGGGAGCTGGAGCCTGGCAGAAAAACAGAAAACAGGTGTCAACTATCAGAACAAAAGCACCTGACTCAAACATTTCATGGCTTTTGTCACATACGGCTTCAAGCCTTCAAAAAATAAAATAAAATAAAAACCTCACAATAAAGCCTACTTTATGTGCAAGGAGAGTACATTTAATGCTCAAGTATGTGCACATTAGGAGCACAATAACGCAGCATGCAGTAGGGGTACTTAGTGGATTCCCACTGAGTGCAATCATTACCACTGCTTTAAAAAGGGGTGGCTCAATAGCACAGTGATTGGCCCTGCCCTGCTCACTTTGCAAATCAAATCCACTACAGCTGAACAGGCTTCAAATTCGATGTGACGGGCAATTTGTAGCCATCGTTTACAACCCACGTGTGTCTGCGTCGCCGCCGCCCGACTTCTGCTTGACAAATTGGTAATTTATGGGCGCGAGCGTCTGCGGTACATTGCGGTATCGTGTCGGCGAATATCCTGGATGGAAGTCAGTTTACAAGATGATATGGGCAGGTGCAGGGCGGCGTGCCTCTTGCACAACAGTAGAGGAGTATTAATATCAACAGATGAGTTACTGACAGAGCCCATACGACTTTGATGTCTGTCAAACACAACCAGGAAGCACCTCACTGGGTTTTGGGAACACCTTATAGCGTTTGCACTCTCCTCATCACAAGCCGTGACTGCCTGCTCTGCTGCAGGTCAGCACCCGCTCACCCCACTGTTTGCAAAAACCCATTAAAAACAGCTGCCTTCACAGACCTAATCCATCATCGTAAATGAGACAACCGCGGCATTTTTAACACAATTACAAAGCCTCAATCAAACTGCTGAGAGAGACCGGTAAAATATTTCCATTAAACACAGCAATTAGCTGCATGGGAAAGTCATAGCAGGCTTACGTAAAATGATGAGCTACATGAATTAAGTGAGTGCACTTGTGGGTTTAGTTTTGTTATTGGCAAAAACACAACCACCCCAGCATCATCATTTAATTGTTATTTATGCACCGACACCATAAAAAGGACCTGCTGTGGTCATTTCCAATGAGGCACGTTGACTCTCGGACTCCAGCGTAGCTTTGCATGATTTTTTTTGTGTCTGTTTTTGCTACCTCTCCTTTCATGGCCTGTCTAACTTTCTCTTTTGTGACGCGCTGCTCTTTGCAAACAGACAGTTTCATGCGTGAAAAGTTCCCACAGATGTGGAGAATCTCTGGATTGATTTGACACATCTGAAAAAAATGTGACACATAACCGTCAGGCGTGTTCACGAGTTGATTTATTTGTCTTTTATGACAGATATTAAGATAATGAACAGTAAGTACAAGTCAGTGTGACACACTGAGTTTAACAGCCCGTGCATAAAATCAGAGAGCTCAGATTTGACTCAGAGAAGGAATATCTTTCAGTTTCTATTATTTCTAATGTGCCTCACGCGCTGTCTTTGGCTGAAGTTAGATATTCTTGCTCATCATTTAAAAAAAAAAAAAAAAAAGTGGCTCCAGGTAAAATTTAGTTTTTCCCCTACTTGCATTATCTTGATGAAATGAGAACATCTGATGTGCCTATTTAATTTTAAGTCAAACTAATGTGACTGCTCCACAGGATGATTTATCACCTCACTCGATCTGATTTGATTGTGCGCGCTATGCGAGCTTTTGACTCCAGCATTTTAAAACTTATGAAAACTGAGCTGAAGTCATTTAAAATACTCAGAAAGCTGCATCTGAACACTGAAGATTTAAAGTGATTTATAAAAGGAGGAAGATGGGTGGTCCCAGTGAAGAGCACGCCTACCTGACCTGTTCCACCTGAACCACGAGTGAGAAGCTTCTGCACAGATGGTTACAGAGCAGTCAGCTCACTAACTTTTAATGGTGTGTATGGGGATTGAGCAGGGATTCCCAAAGTGTGGGCCAAGGCCCCCTGGTGGGCTGTGAAAGTACTGGAGGTGGGTCGCAGTAGTAACAGTAATATCAGTTTGTGTTTACAGGTAATAATACTGCAGTATATTTCTAACTAACCGGGCAGCTCACGCAATTTAAAGATATAAAACATTTGAAGAGAAAAAAAAGGTCAGAGGTCAAACCGGTCCTGATATTTGGATGCAAACTATAATGTGACTTTTACAACAGTGCCATTTTCTAAATGTTGCCAATACAAACAAAGGCAGCAAGATTTTTACGCAAAGTTTTAAAGACAAGACATTTTAAAAAAGCTTGACCTGATTTGACCTTGAAGAGGTCGAAGGTCAAAAGTAACAGTATTTAGAATCCCCATCGTTCCCTGTATGCCAATATATTGCCGGTACAAACAACAGCAGTCAGAAACAAATAGCTCTATATACCATCATTATCATTTTGACCTTTCACGCCAATCTATTGAACTTGAAGGGGAGGTCAAAGGTCAAATGTGAGACTATTTTAAATCTTTCTATATATGTTAACAAATAAAAACACAATTTCCTTGGTGAAGATAACACGTAAGCTAGCCAGCCTTCTGCTACTTTAATTGTCCGTCTGTTATTTTTCCAGCGTCAAGCAGCTTTCTGAGCGATGGCTGCCACTTTCAGAACCGCAGTCTCAGCCCTGCAGTGTCATTGCCAGGACTTAAATGTGGATGTGAGGTAAAAGATCCTTGCAAAAAACATTTAAGACCTCTCTGTGGTGATTTTCCACGTTCGATGGCAAGACCCTCAAAATGACCAACTTGGAAGATCTCTCACAAAGCGCAAAGACCTCGCCTCGCTCAGTGTATACTCTGGTTAAGACGCCCTCAGGAGAAAAGCCAGATAAGGTGAACCTGCGCACCGCCCTCAGGAGATAATCAATCGCAAGTAAGTTCTCGCCTTTGTAGAGCGAGTTGTGACAGTTGCTCAAAAGCATTAATCAAAGTGAACTACAAGTTGTACGAAAAGAAGCCAATTCAGATAAAAAAAAAGACGCTTTAATTTATCCATCTTATTGTGCGTTCAGCAATTGATCAGTGGGTTTGTGGTTTTAGCATTTGAACCCTGATTAAAGATGAAATTGACTTTACCGTCATCTGCACCCGAATCGCTCATTAATTTGCAAACCATCCATCTCTGCTTCCTGTCTGTCTTCACGGCTGCTTGTGCAAAAACGACGGCGAGCATCATTTTTATTCCCTACTTCTTTAAAACACGACAAAAAAACAAAAAGAAACCCAAGACAAAGCAGAGAAGGTGAGACGTGTCGATGCACCGCTGCAGATTCTCAACCGGTGTTTTTGTCCATCTATCTTTACGCCGCCGACGGCTCCTCGGTGCATCGTGTGACACATCCATGAGTTTGTATCCGTCTTTTTATGCTCAATCTCCCGCCTGCTGTTCTATCCTTCACCAGCGTGTCTCCCTGCCTATCTGCGCATTAAATAAATAAAAAAAGAAAGCTGTCTTTTCTCTGCATCTTTCATCCCAAGTTTCAGCTTTCACAGCTGAACTTCTGCTGCTCCCTCTGCCATCTCCTCGGCACAAGCAACTTTCTTCTTTCTGTGCTTTCTAATGCAAACTCAGACTTCTGACCTTGAGTGGCCTGCAGTCTCAGTCACAGTAAAAAAAAGAAAACAGAAAAGCAAAGGGAAAATGCTTTTTGATGGCGTTTTTGAATATCCAACCAGCGAAGACAGTTACAACCTTGCCCTTCTGTTGAGAATCTCAGACGTGGGAGTTTCGATTATCATGCGTGAAGCGTGACGAGCTGCTTACTCGTGTTACCTGTGATGTCTCATGCAGTTCTGCTATGATTTATTTATTGTCTCATGGATTATGGGAGGTCATCTCAGCTGCTCACTGTGTATTTTCATTCTCGGGGACAGTAATGAGCAGTTTTATTAATATTCTCTCTCTGAGCTTTGTTTGGTTAAAGCTGATGTTTCTGTCGTGCTGACTGAACCACGCAGGATTTCTGTGTCGTACCGTGTAAGAGGTGAAAAGTTTGTTTTAGTTTGTTCTGCTCAGGGACCCATCACCTCTTTTCCTATTATTGTGCTGCTGAATTAATCCCCATAGGCAATTTCTGTTCTTGCTGGCTTGTCAGTGGGAGTTAAAGGCTGAAATAATATAACACCTTAAGAATTAGCTGGTTTGAGAATTACTTCAACACATCTTTTCCTGCACATCTGTTTAAAAAAAAAAAAAAAAAGAAGATGTTTCTTGGTGCACCAGGGACTCATTTCAGCTGGATTTTGCTGCTCTGTTGCAGGGTGTTTAAACTCTTTACCCCTTGAAAGTCGACTAAGAGGCTCTTTGTTATTTTTCAACTACTCTAATGATCATTAAACCAAGTATTAACTGAGATATACTGAGGTGTCAAAGCTAGTCTTTAAGGGTACAGAGCAGGTTGTCAGATGCCGACTGTATGGGGGGCAAGAGTTAAGAGGAGCTATTATAGTATATTCTAGTTTTGTGTTTGATTCTTAACTCTGTATTATGTCAGTGATGTGGGATATACCTTAAGCTTTCTGTTTGCAAGAGCAGCCAATAAGAGCTAAACGACCTGTAAAGTAGCGATGGCAAACACATACTGCTCCCATTTCGATCTCAGAGCTGAACCAAAGAAACTCCTCTTTCTGTCAGTGTAGTTTATTAACATTTAACTACACACTGAATCCCTGAGACATCTGGATATAAGAAGTCGTCTAAATGCAACAGCAAATCTCTACATGACAAAGAAACACTGCTGTAGTAAATGAAAGAAACACTCTGGGACTAACTTGTGAAAAAAATATCTAAAATGACAGAATCTTCTGTAAGCTCATTAAAACAACATTTTATGAATTTAGGAAAATTTCTTATTTAATTTTCTTAAATTTTGCCTGATGAAAAAAAAAACTTTTAGAGCAGAAAAAACAGGCACTTTTCTGTCATTTATTAATTATTTTGATGCAGTATGATTAATTTATCATCAGAAAAAGCTTCAACACTTATGAAAATGGCAGGTAGCAAGTATCTGAAAGTATGCTTGCAAAACAGGCCATTTCTTTATGTACAACCTTTTCATAAATCCTGTTCACTGCAGTCTGTTTACCCATGACAGCAAAGACGTGAAAAGAAAAGGTTACGCCACAACCTCTACCTCTAGGTCTAAATCAGGCCTGAGGGTCATTAAAAGCAACAAATGAGACCAAATTGAAACACAGATCGATGTTAATAACTGAAAAGTGTTGTTTATATTAGAGAAAAACCCGGTAGAGCTGACTCTCTGTGGCTGTTTGCAACCATTTAGTAACTTGTTGTTAAATCCTTCATTGCGATACTTTGATCTGTGCATCCTGGACCGGACCTCTGCTGCACATGAAGTTTTTCCTTTCATACCGAGATAACGTCGCCATTTCAGCCACAGAGATAACAGACTTCTAAAGCGCCTCAGAGTGGCTCGGTTTGCTGTTTTGTTTCTGTTTCATGGGATTTGTTGATTGAGGGGGGAGAAAAATGTGGATAATAACCCGATGAACGGCTGACAAATAAATTAGACGTGGATCTTTTAAAAGACACCCAGAAGAATGGCGCTCTTAGGTTTTAGTAGGGAGAAGGAGCGCCTTGTTCTAACTTCCTCACATCAATTTGCTTACATAAGCAGCGCAGACTATTACTTTTTATCACAGAGGTGAGAAGGTTATTTATGATAATGGTGCAAGAACAGAATGAACTTCCTTTTTTTCTCTCTATTTTTTTTAAATAAGCATCTCCGGGGAATGCAAGTGAAAGAAGAGGTGACAGGGAAAGAGATGAAGAGAAAGATACCCGGGAGAGGACGTGTCTGAGCAGCTCGTTAAACAGAGATAAGTACTTACATAACTAGTATAGAACATTCCATTCTGCATCAGGACGCAACGAGGAAAAGGGACAAAAAAACAGAGAAAGACAAGAGAGGAGGAGGAGGGAGAGGAGGCAAGGTGATGAGATGGGAAAAAGTGGGGGAAAATGAGCAGGAGATGATGAAAGAGGGTGGCAAAACCGGTAGAGTGAGGTAAAGATGAGGAGAAAGTAAGGAGGAGGAAAAACGAGAGTGAAAGGTTAGAAGCACAGGAAACAAGCAGAAAATAATAAAGGAATGAGGGGTCGCGGTGCAAACGTGCAGATGTCAAAGGCAGGGCGAAGAAAACAGGACGAGAAGATGACAACGCAACAAAAAATAACAAGAGTCGTGATAAAGCAGAACACGAGCCAATGAGGGAAGGAAGACGAGTGGATGACGGTGCAAAACGAGCGGACGAGGAGGATGAGCGGGACAGGAAGGAGAGATTAGAGGGAATGACAGCAGAGGTGAAGGGAAGAAAGGAAGAAAGGGAAAGATCAACAGGAGGAGAAAATGAGAGAAAGAGGGGAAGCGGAGGGTTAGTGACAGTTTGTCCACGTCAGCCAGAAACTGCAGTCAAGAGATCAGGATGACAATCAGGAGCTGCCAGGATCAGCAAACGCACACAAATAACCACACACACACACAGGCAGCTATAAAATGTACCGAGCTGATACAACAAAGACACCGCACAGACATGCACAGATATTTTCACAGCGCTCGGTGTGAGAAGTGCCACAGTTTTAGATTAGATGCATGTCCTACAAAGTGTTTGCAAGTTCCAGTCAGCTCGGCATCACGCTGTATGTTTGTGAGAAGCCAACCTAAATATTTAAACTGATTTTGTCTCCAGCACTGGCAGAAACATGAAAGCAGGCCAAATTATTACACTGACATTTTGGGAACTTTCGGGCACAGAGTGAAATGAGAAGATGCTACATGCCCTCGCAGTGAGGACGTGGATGTGTTGGATCTGGAAAGAGCCCCTGTGGCTGTACGACCCCACCCTGTTCGTCAGCGCAGATCAAATGTGAACATCTTACTGCACAAGGAGATTACTGATTGGTTTGCTTCCAGACTCATGCTACGTAGAAAGGCAGGATACGTTTTGGTTGGATCTTGTTTTCAGAAGTTGTCAATACATTTCATCAGTTTTTGTCGCCCTGCATTAGATTTTATTTAGCTGTCGTCTCGTTTATGTCAGGGGAAAAAAAAACTGAAAACGATGACGGGAATTACTGGTCAACGAAATAGATTCGTTTCTGCTGGTTTGATTTGTGTAACATGGGATGTTGGGCTGCCACAGCCGGGTTGAAGACATGAGTGTACGGTGACATCTGGCGATGATGTCAGTGGCGGTGGTCAAAGTCACCAATACGGTGGATGCAAAGTGTCCTAAAGCGTGATTTTAACTTTTGCAGGAAATCTACATCCTAACTTAACGAATTAACCAGAAACAACTCTTTCCCCCACAAAGCAACCTTCCACACCAATCAAGTCTTGTGGTATGCGTTGACCCGACGTGTAGTTACATTTATGTAGAAGGATGTGGTGCAGAGGTAAAATGGGTTTCCGGAGGTGTAACTTTGAGGTCTGACAATTTAAGCTTAAACCAGCATTTCTGAGATTGGTCAGCAGGGGGCGACTACTCAGGTTGCCAGAAGTTATTCAGTTCTATGGAAATCTAAATGAAAACTACCGCTGTGTCTAACTGCTTTATTACCTCAGTAAACACTTTCTGTCTAGGTTTCTGGTCTCAGCTGTTTGTCTCAAGTCTTCCTGTTAAAAGGGAGTTTTTCCTTCCCACTGTCGCCAAAGTGCTTGCTCATAGGGGGTCATGTGATTGTTGGGTTTTTCTCTGTTAGTATTATTGTAGGGTCTACCTTAAACCTTAAAGCGCCTTGAGGCGACAGTTGTTGTGATATGGTGGTGTATAAATAAAATTTAATTGAATTAACTGAATAAGCCACTTCATGATTTTCAGTTTAGAAATTATACTTAGTGTTGGAGGTTAAAAAAAAAAAAAAAAGAATCATACTTCTTTTACGTTATTTTAACGAGCTGACCTAAGCAAAGAAAACTGCTAGCAGAGCTTTGACTGTGGCATCTTCTCATCGACCAACCGCATTTCCCAAAATGCCGTGCATCAAACAACAATAAAGGGTCTTTCCCATAAATTTTTTTTCGTGACTTTAACAATAACTTTGGTTTATCACAACTCAAGTCTCATTTTCGTAGCTTGGGGCATCATTTATGAAAGCTGGCAGCAATTAAAGTCATTGAGGATAAGAAACATGATGAGACCGGATATTAAAGCAACAGATTTGTAAGATTATCAAAGACAATTAATAACTCGCTGTGGGGGATATTTTGTTGGCACGCTTTGGGCCCTTTAGGCAGGCAGATGCTCTGATCGTAGTGAGTATTGTTGCTGTCCACGTCCATCCCCTTATGATCACAGTGTACCATCTTCTGATGGCTGCTTCCAGCAGCATAACAAACCACGTCTCAAATCATCATCTCAAACTGATTCCTTGACTCCACAGTCACCAGATCTCAACTCAGGAGAGCCCCTTTGAGACGTGGCAGAACGGAAGATCAACATCATGGATATTTAGATAACATTTTACTGAATTAAGCAACTCTGAAGGGAAAAGTAACTCAGAACTAGCAAGACCTAACAAAGTAACCAGTGAGCTTTACTTTCATTTTGTTTTTTGCTTTCTTTTCCAAACTTGCAGCTTTGTTTCCCTCCAGTCTACCCAACTGGGTCCAGTTTGTAGCTGTTGTGGACATCTTGTGACGTTGTTCTCAAAATCTGAGCTAGTTAACTTGGTTAATCTAAAGTAAAGCACTAAACAGGAATTATGCCAAAAATGCGAATGAGAAGATAAGATTTGTTTTTGTGATAAACCAAAATTATCCAAGACTTCCAGGACTTACAGACACCTCGATGGACGCCTTTGGGCAAAATGTTGAGGTTGCACAATTCTTTATAGCAGCTGGGTATTTGTGCATGTGTTGGTCTCCTTACCACATGTGGTACAGGCATGGGCTGTGGGGCCATGGGTGCTGGGCTCCACTGTGTGGTCGACATGGTCTTATTTTGCCAGTTCTGGCCGCCCGTCAGCTTCTTCTCTCCCGGTTGGTTCCACTGCATATCTGGCCTGTGGAGGTCAAACGGATTCAGCTGTTTAATCTCAGGTTTAGTTATCACATAATTTGCTATTTACGTTTTTCAAATCTTTAAAGTCTAATTCAATAGGCCACAGATGTGTGTGCATATTAAGCAGTTCATAATAAATTTGCTTTCTGAGATTTGTGCTGACAGTTTCCTGACCAAGAACAGCTTAAAAGCGTATATTTGCTTTTGCAGAGACTACAGGCACAATTCAGGAAAGGCACCATCACGACTCAGCAAAACTTACTTTTTGGCTGGGGTCCCACCAAACTGCAGATCTGTGGAGAGTTGGAAACACAGAAAGTGAGTGATCGCAGTTAAGAGAGTACAATGAAAAGGGAGGCAGGAAGGAATTTCAGCCTCAGATGCTGTTTTTTTCCCCTCATGAAAAGAGGTTCAAGTTTCCACAAAGAAATAACAAATTCCAACCAAACACATGAAGTTAAAGAGGAATATGCAGGTTCACTTCTATGTACAAGCAACAGTAAACTTTAATATGTCCTTAAGAGTCTGAGAGTACACTGCAGGCACGTATTCAAGGCCAGGCATTGCATGTGCCACGTTATGTAACCGAGTTTTTCTCTCGTCTTTGCTGGTCTATTCACATGAATCTCAACACTCACTGCCCACGAGGTTGGCCAGAGACGAGTCGAGGTCATTGGCTAGCAGCTTTCCTCCATGATGGATGGCCACTTGAGGGGGAGGTGGAGGAGGTGCGGTGTGTGTGGGAACTGTAGGCTTTAACAGGTCTCCGAGAGCATCAAAACCTGAAGAAGAAATCAAGGTAAACAAGCGAGTGAGATGGGTGTGCAGAAAAACTGCATTTTTAATAGGAATGGCTGCTAATAACGGCATACAGGCAGGCAGAAAGACTGAGCAAAAAGCAAGATCAAGCACTTCATATTTAATTTAACCGAGTGGCAGACTTGACCGCTGATGAACCTTTTCCCTCAACAGCAACTGTTCAATTACAGATTAGAAAACTGTAACTAGGCACAGAAGGCCTGTCAAGCTTTGGATTTCTCCATATGCCAAGTCAATAAAGAGACAAGGAGCAAAAGGCTACATATATATCACTCTGTTTGCCTGCTGTAATGTGAGCTGCACAGCTCAGCTACAGTAGCAATCAACATTTTACTAGCCAAATTGCATTTCGTAGGGTTACTGTATCAAGAATATGGTGTAGTATTTCTCACCGACAGCTACCTCTGGAGATGTTACAGTTATCCTTCATTGTAGCTACAAATCCTTAAGTCTTTCTGGAACCACGCTACCACACACGTTTAATGTTAGCTTAAGTGTCCTGGATGCTACTACGCCCTACACGCTGTTAACCCCTCTATCCCGCTCTTCACTGGATGTGGGAAAGAATACATTTGATGTAAACAGTCTAGCAATGTTGGCAAAGAGCCCTTTGTTTACTGAACACGCTTACTGGTGATACACAGAGAGCCTTTTTGTAATCAAACTAAGTCGTTCATGGTAGCTTACTTGTCCTAAATGCTAATTAGATTGCAGTTACAGATGTGAAAAAGAAAGTTTTCCCAGGACTGAATATACCCTGTGATTCAGCTGCTTGTAGAACTGCCTTTATCAGCAATAACATGAAGAAATCATTTTCTGTGTGGCTTTGAGTCTCTCACATCAGTGTGGAGGACTTTTAGTCCGCTCTTCTTTACAGCGTTGATTCAGTTTGCAGAATGTCTGCCAGACAGGTGGCCTCACATTTGACTCTAGAACACTTTGGCATACAGAGGAGTCCATGGTCGATTCAGTGACTACAAGGTGCTCATGTCATGTGGCTGCAAAATGCCCCTCTCATCACCCCTCCTCTATCGTGCCCGACAGTTGGTATGAGGTGCTTGTGCTGATATGCTGTTGGGATTTTTCAGACATGGTGCTGCGCAGCAAAACATCTCCACTTTGGTCTCATCAGTTCAAAGGACATTCCAGAAGTCTTGTGGTTTCTGATTTACAAACTGTGATTTTTAGAGAGAAAAATCACAGTTAGGCCTCCGTTCCAAACAAGCAATACTTCTTCAGTCTTTTTCTGATCATGCTGTCATGAACTTGTTAACTGAGGTCAGCAGAGTCTGAGATGTAGTTCCTTTTTTGCAGTTCCTCTGAGCATTGTTTTACTTTGGGTTGCCAAAAATACCATGTTTACCTAACCCGAACAGACAAACTAGCTGCTTAAACTTGTCCACCTATATCACAAAATGACTGCATTTCCATTGAAATCTGCAGCTGTTCTCACTGTGAGCTGTATTATGCTCCAACGCAACAACAAAAAGTTCGACAGGCAGAATTTACCAACTTACTAAAGGAGACGGGGGACTATCAATGGTAAGGCTGAAAAAAGAAAAATAACATCTAAAAGTTAATGAGTGAAGTTCACGCTGGAGGACAAGGCAAGAAAGTTTGGGAACAAACGTTATAAAGTTTCTGTATCAGTGAGAAGACATTTAATCCTGACTCTAATGAGAGCAGGCTCTTGCTTTCAACCTAATTTTTCCTACTCTTTAAATACATCAACTTATGGCTCGCCCACTTTAATGAAGCCGAGCTGGACAGTTTTGATCTGAGAATATTGCTGAGTTGGGCCTCCTTAATATGAACCTCAATCTCACTGCTAGCCTCTCTGTTAATTGAATTCTTTCAGACCTATTTTTAGCATTTACCCACACGGGGGGAAAAAAGCAGATAGTTTAAATCAGATATCCTCGACCTAAACCGCTCTTTTTTTCTTTGCCATGTAGCAGCTTCAGTAGCGAGCCTTTAATCCCTGACTCGGTAGCTTGCAGCAGTTGTTCCAGATGATTGATTTATCTGTTTGTAGTCGTCATGTACACACGGTGACTGAACAGTGATTAGTTTGGAACATGCGTGTGTGCTTCTGTGTGGGAAAGTTAACTGAGTTTGTCTCTGATAGGTGGAAATGACAGGGTAATTTCCTGCACTGGTGTGGAAGTGTGTGCGTCTAAGTGGCTGCGTTAACAGCTTCTCATGTCAGCACTCATTCAGCTAATGGCTTAGCACAGGTCTGATGGTGGGAACCTGGAGATGTGATGGTGCATATTCAGAGGAGGAAAAGGTCAGCATGGCTAAAACTATTTAAAAAATATCTTTTCATTGAAAGATGGAGAGATGAAGGCAGGAGAACAGCAACAAAAATTAAAACAAGAATGAGAACAAATGATTGCTCTGCTGCTAAGGAGAAAGGATGAAAGTAAGGCAACTGATGGTGGAGAGGGGAAAAAAAAACGGAGGAATAATATTTAGTTAGGAAGCGGTGTGTGGGTCTGACAGTGGTGCTGACACAAGAGATTCAGAAAGCACTCTTCCTGCTAGCTTAGCAGATGAGAGAGAAAAAGGGAGAGCATGGAAAATATACCGAGACAGAAAGAAGACTGGAAGTAGAGAGAAGAACGGGAATTGAGACAGAAGGGAGATCGAGAAATGAACCTAGTTTTAAACACTGATTTCCCTCCTGTGATAAAACACTTTGTCAACACAGGTGAGTTTATATTTCTTTATTTCTGAAATCGTCACATCAGTAAAGCACCACTGAATTAAACTGAACCAAGAAGCGACAGATGAACGGAACAAGCTTCCTCAGTAGATCACACAACACTGCAGGGCAGCAAAAAGAAGAAGAAGAAAGCAGGGATGGAGGGAGATAAGTAAGCGGTGTGTGTCGTATTGAACTGAGGAGATAATGATATCTGTGTTAGGTGTTTCAGCGATGGATTTGACAGTCAATAGAGTTTAAGATCAAAGGGAAAGAAGAAAGTAAATCCATATCGAGGATTCAAAACACCAGCGCTGACTGCTCAGAGATCTGAAAAGAAGTTTTAAAAACGTTGCGTTTCTTTCAGAAATGAAGTACCCACCATCGCTGGCTTCATCATACGTAAATGTTCCCAAGGGTGGTATTAACATATGATGGGGGATCTTTACAAAAAAGAGCTTTAGGAGCTGCTGTGTGACAGGCAGATACGGAGGAAGAGGCTTCAGTGGTTTCGAGACAGTGAAGGTTCTAGCTTGTTTCTTATCTACAGACTGATGACTTTTTTGTTGCTATGAGTCCTACCAGCTCCATCGAACTGACTGATGCTAACAGAAACTCTCTTGTTCCCTCATAACCCTGCAAGAGTGGCTTTAAGTAGCTGTCGCTTCATTCCCAGGAGCGGACTCCTAATCAGCCCTTTCCAGCATCTCAGGTTTCTGTTGAGGATTGGGGTACATCGGACTCGGGTGGCGATTGTTTAGTCGATAACAGGGACAGTTTTACAGTTCAGTTACAATAATATAGGCTGTGTATAGCTGTATGTGAGACCAAAACAACAGCAACAATTGAGTGAAACCTGCTGTTCTTTGTCTTTCTTCTAAGCAAACCAGTCTTCCAAACCGTCTTTATCCCAGATTTGGGAAAATCTTCTGTTATAAAAGGTAATTCTGATCTGAGGTTGAAGTTGATTCTGGGTGGTGCTGGACTGGATCAGGCCCACGGAGTCTAAAAGCTTAAGAACCAAGTAAATGGCTGATAGGCTTCAGTCTAGACTGCTCAGGAACCTCCTGGTAACCACAGGTTGCTAGGGGTAAAAAAAAAAAAAAAAAAAAAAAAAAAAAAAGGGTCAGGAGACCAGTGGGCAGCCCATTAGCCAGGGAAAAGTACGTATTCCACCAACTGGTTGATGAGTGGTTGCTGGCAGTGATACCACATAAAAGGGTGCTACGCCAAAAACCTTGCTGTGATTTGTTTGGTATCCAGTGGGTTGTCATAGGGTTATGTGACACCTGATAGACACCGACTTGCCCGCAAACACTCGCTGACCACCCACCAAACTTGGAAAATGTTTCACGAGTCCTCAAACCCTCGCTCGCTGCCTGCAGAGCAGGGGGTACGTTTTCAAAAGCACAACACAAAAGTCAGCACGCAAGTCGGCATCTTCCATGAAAATGACTGTAATTTGCTGGTGATCAAAAGAAGTGATGAGGAAGTTTCTACTGCAGCACCTTCTTTGTGACCAATTTCACCCAGAAACAAGCAGCAGCCAGTGGGTTAGGGAATACTTTTGTCCCTTTTATTATCAAATCAAGTGATTTTCTTTTTTTAATAAAGTTTCGCTTTTGCTCCTCATAAGAGCTGAAATCTACTGTGCTGTTTAGTGGAGCCAAGGCCCAAACACAAAGGCCTGGACACTGGATGGCACAGCATCCTTGTCCAAGCACCAGCACAAAGCTCTGTACATTTGAAATGTGAAACAATTACACAACGATTTCACCTGAATTTAATCTACAGCACCTATAAATGCATTACGTTTGGTCAAAAACACCAAGTTTAACATCATATTTGATATATTCATCTATATTTCAGTGTGTATGTAAACACACAGTAAGGATTACTTTTCTCACCCAGTACATCAACATTAACAAACCCTGCTGCCACACACCACACTGTTCTCTCTGGTGAAAAGCCCTGAATCAGGTCACAAAGTAACAGCGACTTCTTCCTGCAAAAAGTCCCTCTTATTAACTTGATACATATAGTATGTTATATCATGCCAACAGACTGCAGCTAAAGCTAACACATCCCCATTTTAAAACATCTGAATCCTGATGACTAAATGATCATAAATCAGTTTTACGATCAGGAAACTCAATAATATCAGACCACTCTATTCTGTGTTTCCAACATAACCCTATTAACCCATCCTTTATGCAGGTAATAACTGAAGATACACAGTCCTCTTAGGAAGTACAAGATGTGCATTTAATCTCCGTCCAAGTGTTTCATCTGGTTCTGCCGCAGCTTCCACGCTAATGTGACAAAACTCAATTCAGACTTGTCCCGCCTGAGAAGGAAGATTATCATCACGAGTTTACACAAAGCGACTAACAAACGTCAGGCCTTTCTAAGAGTGTGACTTCTTCACTGACGACCTGTGCAAGTCTTTATGAGCTTGTTAATAACAGAAAGCTGCACTGACAAAACCAGATAAGATCATAAACAGAGGAACGCAGCAGAATTAAGGCAGAACTATACCTTTATTTCTTCTCACATATATGTGGCTGCTAATGTTAAACAGAGTTTAGAATAACGAGGTCAGTTCAAACTGTTTTTTTTTTTCTTTATGATATCAGTCAGAGGCTAACATCCCTGACAGCACACAGCTCTCTCCCACTGCCTCCCAACTTCCAAGGGAGAGCTTCCCATATACAGAGAATGCACTGAGGGGCTGCACCAAGGCCATTGTAAGATACTATAAGGATTATTTTCAACTGTGAAGCACAGCAGTAAGCATGCATGCATTACAAGTCTGCTTTAAATAACACGGACACACAGACACAGCAGTAGCAGGCAGAGCACCTTCATTAGAATAACCAGCAGAAATTGTTTGTTGTCCTTCAGAAAACTCAAATCTTGAAAAGATCACTAGAGGTCAAATACAGCTTAAGAGTGGCCAAAATTCAGGCAAAGTATTAATTATTAATTAATTAAGAAGGGAGGAAAAACAGACAGGAAGAGGAGGAGGAGGACAGCAGATGGAAAGGAGTTGCCTGGGTGATTTTTGCCTTGTGAAGTGTGATGGGGAGACGATGAGGCAAAGACAGGGAGAGGGAGGGAGAGGAAATACAGGGAGGAGTAGGAAGGTGGGGATGGTGTGAACCACAACAACAAATAACAGACGAGCAGAAGCAGACAGATGGGATGGAGTAAAATGACAGAAGACGTGTGAGCACAGACTCACAAACACATGTGAGCACGCATAGAAATACACAGATAATGCATGAGCACACACATACACACAGGGGGATTTTACATGCGATGCTGCCAGTGGCCCAGATGGTGTATTGGTAGTTGTAGTGGCAGCCTCGACACAGGCCCTATTAATAGAAAGAGTCGCTCCGTCCAGAGCCAGGAACAAGCTGCACGCCTCCAACTGTTAAATCTGAGCAGAGGAGACTGACGGGGTTAGACGAGATTAGAGCGAGCAGCTCCCGAGCAAAGTCACAACTCAGGTCCTTTGGAGTGAAACGGCTTTAAGAGTGTCTGACGAGGCAGCGCTACAGCTGTGCAAATACAGCTAATCCTCCGGATAACAATGATAACGTGACAACATTTCACCCAGGTGACTTCAGGATATTCTTTCCTCGAGATTACGACGAGCGATCTGTGTGACAAATGTGCTATGATCAAGTCGTCCCGACAACGAGTGTGAACTGCGCGTGGAGCGAATGCTGCTCCGAAACAGCTGGACGATAAATCCCGGTGAGGCTGATTGATGGACGCCAGCACAGTGAAAATGGCTGGCACCATGAAACACCTTTCAGTCAATTTCCTCAAGTGTGAAATAAAAAAGCACCCAAACCCCCCCCCTTTAATTAATTTAAAACAAACCCAACAAAGTCACAGCACACTTCCTCCGTGCTGCTGCAGTTAAACCTGCACTTCTTTCTGAACTTCCCTCTCCCTTTATGATGAAAATAGTCTTTAGATGACCTCTGCAGGTAGTCGCTCTTATCTGCTGTACCTTCTCTGGAGTGGTCGATAACTCGGTGTGCCTTAAAATTATATGCTTTGCAGGAGTGCCTCGGGACTCTAAAGGGTTGAGAAGCGCTGGAATTGATTGTGTCAGTTGCTGAGAGGTTAAAGGAAAGTAAGCTAATAAGAGGGCTCAGAGCCAAAAGGCTCAGACCTGCAACACTTAAGAGCCAGTCAGAGTCAGTCCAAAGCTGTTACCATAACAGGGAGGACACAACAGCAGCAGCAGGCGAGGAGGCTGAAGGATGGCCTCCTACACATCATGACTCCTCTATTCAACAATATTCTTTACAGTGTATTCATAGATTCAGCTCTGTTCACTCTGTCAGAATCTTCTCACTACTAACAATGATAACAGAAGTTAACTAGGGTATTTAGCAGTTTTCTTCCAGCTTTGTAAGATCTGTTTAAATGCTCAAATTTAAAAGATTGCACATTAAAGAAACCGAGTAATGCCTCAATCACACTGGAGGAAAAACAGGATGACAACCTCTGACTAGAAAAATATCTATAGGGTTGCCCGATTGTGGTGACCAACTAATTTAGTGTGTACCACCCTCTCTGGGGTCAGACGACGATAAACTGGTGGACGGCAACTTGTCTCCAAACTCACACCAGCTCCAGTCACTCTCACGTGGATTTGGAAAGGTCTGCAAATAATTACCGTCTAATTTATGAACAGACTGTCAGAACACTGCAATCAATATGAGTCGGTCTGATGAGTGTAACCTATCTCTCTGAAATAAATGACTTTGCTTAACCGGTTGTATTCTGGTTATATTCTGATTTAGAAGCAATGTTACCCATGTACCCATGTCAGGTTGCAGCTACATTGCTGCCCTGCAGCAACTATCTGTGGAGGAGTTTTAGATGTATGAGGTTCTGCCTGGACTCTGAGTGCAAGCAGGTAATGTGAACGTCCGTGTATCAAAGTAAATCAGCGATCTTTGCCATTTTATCACAAACAGATTCCATGTAAATACTAACTTAACAAACTGAGTTTAACTGCAGACTAATTCCATCTCAATGCAGCTTTGTCTACATCTTGATCCAACAAAGTCTCTTTGAGGACAGCAGCTGACTGTGAGTGGTCACAGACTTGGTCCCTGCTTTCGAGCAACCATTTCAGAGTCTGCAAGTTCATTGCATACGTTTGTGCCGTGGTCTGCAACCACTGCTTTTAAAATCAGCCTCATAGACACACATTAACAGTCTTAAAAGGTGCTAGATGTATATGCATTTTATTTTGAAAGATCATCAACTAGCTATGGCTGTGACTTTTACTGTTCTGCTACCTACACACTGTCTAGGTCACGCTCAGATCCTGGATATAATATGTACCAGTTATAACAATGCACCTTTATACAATAAAAAATACTGGAAGCATTTGTTTCTGAAGTCATCTTCGGGTTTGAAGTGTTACAAAAGGTCTATGTGACAGAGCGAGCAAGCTGCACACACCCACTCAGTCGCAAGAAACAAGTCAGAAGGTTAGTAAAGTGTTAAGCTTTTGTTCCCAGCAAAGCCAAAAGTTATATAATAAAAAGATGGAAAAGGTTTAGTTCAGTCTGGCTCTGCCCGGACAGTCAGGCAGAGGAGGCTTTACCGGCTGCAGGCTGCGGGCCGTTGTTACTGGGTGTGGCCTTATTCCCAAACACAGCATCGAAATCTACGGTCATGGCGGGGCCGCTCTGCTGCAGAGGTTGGCTGTCCAGTCCTGAGGAATGCAATTAAATATGACTGATTAAAGCACCGTTTGTGCTATTTAGGCTGCGCGAGATAGCAGCTGGAGACGCTTTATCGGGGACACTTTTACAAAGGAAACAGCTGTACATACATCCATCCATCAGACAGGCCCAAAGTCACAGCTTTGCTTTAAGTAAGGATTCCAGCACCTCCTGCTTAACTAATCCCATTAGATTAGGAGCACGGACGCTACAGTCCCCAGTGTACTGCTATTGTTGTTGCTCGATGACTCGGGATTCTGCGCAGGCTGTCGGGGACGTCAGCCTTTCACGGGAGAGTTAAGCCAGTGCACGAGGAAATCCACTGACGCACCTTTTTGTCTTTCCGCATCCCCGAGTGGGATTAGGAGCTCGAAGCCTCGGGGGAACGGGCGTCTTTGTGGGATCCACAAAAAGAGTATACGCCCCAAAAACGTCACCATAAAGCACAGATATGCAATTATCTGCATGTAAAATGTTGCTCTTACAACATTCAGAAAAAGTGACGTCTTAACAACTAGCATGCTGCTATTTGTGCACCTGTAATTGGCAATTCTGTCACGGCACAAGTTTCCCAGACTAAAACTTTGCGTGTATGTAAAGGAAGACTCTGCCATTTTGGATATAAGCTCATTAATTTCCCAGAGATGCTCCGAGCTGACATCTATACTGTAAAGTCATTTGGTGCTGGCTCAGAAAGCTCAGCATTGGGGCCAATCTATTCTAGCTATATTACACGTTGTGCTGTCCTTTGATACCATGTTTCTGCAGCAGTGCACCAGCTTTTAAGTCCGTTTTTGTTGTTGTTTGTTTGGCTTTTCGCTTTACCAAAAAATATGTTGACACCCACTGAAAAGCTCCAACAAAAGCACTTTCTCTTTCTCATTATGTTTGGTTTTACACTTACTGGGAAGCTTTTAGTGCATCTACAGCAGGGAGAAGGAGCCGTCTTCTACCTGATTGCTATCATCTTCACTTGTGTGAGGTGGTGTACTCACAGTAAAACAGAGCAGAGAAAAAAACACTAGTGCAATCATGAAAGACTCAAACTGAGCTTGAATGAACCAAAATGGTAATAAATGAAGTGAATACCATTTCTTTTTTGGTACGGTGGTAAAAGTGTGAGTGAGAAAAATCCCTAAAAAGGATCATTCCAGCTGAAAAAGTGGGACAAGTCAGTGCATCCCTTTAATGGGAACGTTACAACTCGTGGTCTCAGCTAGCCACACATTCTCTGTAAAGTTTTCCCCAGCACAACGGGAAGCATATTTCCCTCAAATATTAAAGTACTCTTTTAAAATACATCCTCCGTCTATTGCCCGACTGAAAACCCGATCAGTATCTCGTAATCTTACATCCTCTGACATTTCCTGAAGCAAGTAAGCTTTGTGGTATTTCTGAGAAAAGTACGGGGGACATTTATCTGAGCTTCTGGGTCAGAGTCCCTGATAATGTGAAAGGCTCATATCTGAAGTGAGGAAGTCGCTCTGACTGTAACGTGGCCAAACTCTGCATAATCCTTTATCATAAAGCCTTAAATACGCCGCACTAGCCCAGCTTACAGACGCGTCTTTGCGCTACATTTTGATCTGAAGCGGCCGATTGCACCCGCTGAAATGTCGACCTTCTTGTTTTTTTTCCCCTCCACACAAATTTGTTGGGGTGCAGTCTGTTCTCAGCTTTTCAGCCTCAAACAAACAAACAACAAGGAGACGCTGTGTGAGTCTCACTTCTGTACTGAGCAGCAGAGATTGGAACGCAACACAAGACGCCGACTGGGTCACGCAACATTAGCCCCTGAAGAAAACACGATGACGGTGGAGACGATGATGGTGGTGGATGGATGGTTTCCATGACGAATGGTCAGATAGATGGATGGACACAGGTGCTCGAGTGGCAGCCAGAGGGGATATTACAGAAATAAATTAACTTGTGTAAGTCTGATTATACGCATGTCTGCGTCCCTGCTGGTGCATTTATTTTTTTATATATATATAAAAATAAATGAAAACGTGTATGTATGCAGGTAACGTACCTCCCCAGGCACTATTGGCGTTGGAGATGGAAGGAGTGCTCTGCACAGCAGGGATGAAGGCCGGCTGAAGATCAAACAGGTCACTGTTCAGATTGGGCACACTGAGGAGAGAAAAGCAGAGAGGAAAGCCACAGAAGAGGCGAGCAGAAAAAAAAATGAAGAAAAAGAGGGTGAAAGAAATGAGGATGAGTCGAGAGGGAGGAGGGGGAGAAAAAAGGGGAACAGGAATCGAGTAAGTCAGCGAGAGAACAGAGATACGGAAAGACAGATGGAGACGCAGCATTAATATTTAATCAATTGAGCATAAATAGCTAAAGCCACCACTAAAAATGTTCGTTTGTCACAGATAAAGATTAATCCTCCCGCTCTGAAGGGCTGTAAAAACTTCCAGAGAGCAATAAAGCAGTTAGGAGCAGTAAATTCAGAGCGTGCACACTGGGCCTAAATTCTGTTCTGATTATCAAGAATAAATAGTCTTACTTTACCTCCGCTACAGCCGGAGATGAGATACGAGAAGGATGTGTTGTGTTAGATAAGAATTCTTTAAAAAAATGCACGCTGACAGAAAACAAATATATATTCTTAATCTCTGTTGCACAACAAGAGGAGGTTTGTTACCGTCTTTAAAAAGTTCATTAACATCTTGAAACTTCAGCTGAAAATCTGTATTATAATATAAAGCACCTGCTGTTGAGTTCAAATGGCTGCGCACCAGCACCTAAAACCCACTGCAGCCCTAATATTTCACCCACCGGAGCTGTGAGTAAGAATGTAAATGTCATCATGTCTCCAGAGCAAAGTCTGCGTGGTGTTGAATTTCAGGCATGTGAGAACAGTTTAGCTAATTAAGTCTGTCATGTGTCCTGCCTCCTGGCAGCTTCCTTAAGTGTTTCCAGTAGTGAGAACTTGTCTGCAGTGGACTATCTCCTGTAGTAAGAACGTAACAAGGACGATGTCCTGACCGATTGTCCTCATACTGCACAAAGTTCACGAGTGACAGCGTAATGTAAGGTTAGATCACAACATTAGATCTTCACAGCATCACCATCATTCAAATGCATCTTTTTAAGTTTTCTATCAGCTCCTCTTTAACAGTGGTTATCGTCTGTCTGCAGACTGCTGACTTCCTATACTGGCTCTGCACTCATACAAACTAAAGAACAGATTTAGTAATGTGTCACGCCAGTGCAAACTGGGTTTCAATGACAAGACCGTATGTAAGAGGCGGGAACTCAACAGTGCTCCCACTGATTTTCACCTAGGATGCCAGGATAAAAATCACGTCAGTCACATGATCACCCTCAAATCAAAGCCAATATGTTTCATGGACGAATCACTAACTCATTTGTTGCTTGTGCATCACATCCAGATAACAGTCTGAAAAGTAGGGGTGGGTTTTGATAATTGATTTATCGATTAAAATCGATTCTGGCTTGGATAACGTGATATCGATTCATTAATTAAATTCTGAATCGATTTTTTAATATAAATTTATTTTGCCCGAAATGCCAGAATCTCAGTTTCGACAACCACCAAACAGCTAAAACAGTAACTGAGAGCAGGTACACGGATTCTGCACAAAGACGCAAACACAAAGCTTGGACCCGCCGACGGATCAGAATCAGTGAGATGTCGCCTTTCTCACCCGACGGCACGGACACGGTCAGGGCTGAAAGCCGACAGCTCGCTGATTCTGATGTTTCGGCGGGTCCAAGCTTTGTGTTTACGCCGTTTTGGCGCTGATTCTAGAGCTGTTAGTTTGATCTCTCCTCAAACAATACTGACTGAACCAGCAGTAAAAGAAGATCCAATCTACGCTTCACATAAACATCGTCATGAATTCACTCTGACTTGTGCCGTTTTGCTTCCACCACGATAAAAATCACACTTCATGCACAGCTCTCTCTCTCTCTGTACTTCAAGAACAGTTTCCCGTCTGAAAATCTGTTTTCTGCATTATTCGCTTGCTTGTTACGCACAAGTCTACCGTTGTTTACAGGCTGTCGGCCGCTGTTTTTTTCCCTTTTACTTACTTCCGAAAAGAAAACCTAATTTCTGCTGTTCAATACTGAACAAATTTAAACTTTTTAAAATGATGCAAAATGCAAAATGCTTAGCCGTGTCTCTAATAAAACTGCTGTAACTTCAGAGGTAATGTTCATATGTTGATTAATGGTTTTCTTTTGTTTTTGATGTACTGCAGAATATTTTTATAAAATCCCAGGCCAAGAAAATCACCTTCATGTTTTTCTGTGTTTTATCTTCAGCTACTTTGACACAAAGGCATCTGCTGTGATGCTCACACCTTTGATAAAGTCTTGTGAGTGTCAGCTTCCTTTTTATAGATACAAAAATATGTAAATGTTGTGATCTGAATTATAATATTTCTGACTGTCTGAGACAAAATTTCCCAGATTCAAATCGAATTGAATCGAATCGATTCTAGAAATCAGTGACGATACCCAGCCGTACTGAAAAGTAGCTGCCTACTAACACAGGAGGAAACAATGTAACTGAACGGACCAATCACAAGTGTTGCAGACTGTGCTGATGTAACGTGGAGTTACATTTCTCCGGGTGAACGTCAGGCTGTAGCGTAAGGTTTTAGATGAGTTACAAAGTAACTCCTGTCTACGTCTAACACAGTGCATTGGTGTTAGAGCTACACTGTAGCTGGTCAGTGGTGCTGTATCAGTTACCATATTACTAAGTGGGTTTCATTTAAGAACTCTATGTGCTGCTCTTGTCTGAAAACCTGCTGCTTGCAGCATGAAGTCAGATCTCTGCTGCACACAGGACGGTGGTAAAATGCAAATTCCTCACCGACCTGTTCAGTAACGTGCACACCTGTGCTCGTTACTGAACATCTTTACAAAGCGCTGCATATTTAAGCTAATGGATCCTTTTCAGTGTGATGAGTATGACTGTGTGCGGGAGGTGTTTGGCTGTGCAGCGTGCTCACCTGTTGGTGGACAGCGTGGAGCTGAAAAACTCTGGGGTCTGCGTGACGTGGTTGTTGTTGTTGGCGCTGCCTATCGACTGGCTGCTGGGGGAGGCAGAGGGTGGAGTCTGCATGCTGATCTCCTTCAGGCGCTGGTCCTGGAAGGAGAACACACAGCCGGGAGTGTGAAAAACAGCACAATGTGACCAGGAAGGCAACACTTAAACAGCTATTTCCCACAGAAATAAACAAGAGGCTCTTTTCCAACAAGCTCCGATCCGGGGGAAGTGACACACTGTGTGCACTTGAAGAAAAATACACATTTCCACAGAGGAAAGTACCACCCTAAACCTCCGCAGTTATATAGCTTTGTGTTGCTGTTTTTGATTCAGGCATCTAATCTCACAAATGAATGACGTGACGCAAGGATGAGCAAGAGAAAATACACAGGAGAAAGTACGCTTTGGGGATCTACAGAGTCACTTCTTGGCTTTAAAAGCCAGGCCAAATGAATTCCCAGCCTCAGATTATTGTGCAGTTTCGCCTGCCAAGGCTGCCGTGTTGTTTTTGATTCAGCGCACACAACAATACAATGACAGGCTATTAGTGTAAAGTACTTTAAAACTAATTGTTTCCAGCAAATTCTTTTTTGTTGCGATGCTAAAAAGTCCAGCAGCGCTTGACCCCGAGACTCAGGTGCTGCTGAAACGCTGAATGCGGATCTCTCTGGTGACAGAAACACCGACATCAGCAGAGTCCAACCAAACTGGAGAAAACAATAACAGGTTTAGAATTTTGTGCCTTTTCCGCTGATTCGGGAAGATGAATTCAAACGCATGTGAAGCCTGAGCTGCGCACGCCTTTACATTTAGCTGAAACAGGAGTAAAAAAGCCTGCCGTCAGGTTATGAAACACATCTGGATAATGCAGTTTTAAATAATTTATTCATCAAATCATCATCAAAGCACTCTGAAGGTGTTCCTGCAGCTCTAGAGACTCTTAACTCTTGCATTAATATAAAGATTTTGCATCAGGATCAGCTCGACGGAAGACGTCCAACTGTCAAGCAACTCTGTTCTCAGTCATCTGTGTTAAAATTTAAAACGCATGATAATAAAAATAACTAATATCGGTTTCTCCATGCGAGTCACAGAAGACGCTGAAGCTTCGAGTGCCGTTTTCAGCGACCACATCGCTCGCTTTTGTCATTCTCGCTGTTGTTATTGCCTATTTCTCGTCTCACACTCGTGTCCTTCCCCTGATTCGCTGTGGCAATGAACTCATTTCTCCACAGGGATCGATGCACATATGTCCATATACTTTATTGATAGTGCGTGTTTAAAGAAAAAAGAAACAGGAAAAAGAAAGGAAACAACAGCTCTGACCAAAGTGCTCCCAGTTAAAAGAAAGCAATAAATAGAATGAATAGAATAGCCCTTTATTGTACATGTACAATGAAACTGTGGGTGCTCAACACCAACTGTGCAGGAAGAAATATAAATAGTAGACAGCAGGAGAAATACATACAAAAATAAGAGAAAGGCACACGTTAGAGAATAAGTGGCAAAAAAGAAATCACGTCTTAAAACAAGAAGCAAAACTAAAGTGCAAAACTAGAAATAAAATGGACAATAAAAATAATAATAAGTCAAAAAAAAAAAAAAAGAGAATGAAAGTGGCCAGAAACTGACTTGAACCAACACTTTTTACACACTGTGAGGGATCACTGCCTTACTGTCATGGTTTTGCTTGCATAATGACAATAAAACGTCTTGAATGTTTAAGCTTTCAGGTGCTTGTCCAGGCATTTTCACTTCAGTCTGAACTTTCAATGTATGCAAATGTTCTACTGCACTTTACAACCTCGTCCACCTTTCAGGGATTTTGGACTTTGAGCGGATTAATAGGCAGAAGCTCCCGCTGCTGCCGCGCTGGCCTCAGCCAGGCCGAGTCCTCTTCATCGTTATTCTGACAGTGCAGCGAGGAACAAATGGGAACTGCTGTTATTGTTTTGGCTGAGGCCCCAGCTGGACAGTAGCTGAGCGTGAGTGCATGTGTCCATATGGACACCAGAGAGCGCAGACAGCTGGACTAGAGTATTTGGACGACCCCCGCTAACCCCAGAGCTCGTTCTCTCTCTTTTCAGCTCCTCTTCTTTACTCTGTTCTGCTCTCGCTCTCACTTTATCTCCCCTCTCCTTTCTTACTAAACCCAAAAGGTAATCGGTGGACCCTGGCAGAAATGGGGGGCAACCAAAGGCACGGAGTAAACAGCGTGCTAAAATCCAATCAAGCACGTGCGCGCGAGCGCACACCTAGGCGCGCTGGCTGGCTGGCAACACACAGACGAGTGTAATCTGCCAGGATACACACAAAGCTCAGAGATCCCAGTAACACTGGGAGACACGTACTGTATCTTTTCTGCTGGGATGTAAGCACGCTTAACATGCACACACACACACACTGAGTCGCTGTGTTGTAGCTTCACTGCTCCTACTCAATTACAGTTTGCTGTAAGGCAGGACTCCCAGGGCTGGAGCAAGAAACGTCAACACATTTTACACTTGACTTTTCTATTGCTCACTTCGCCACTGAGACTGCTGGCCTTTATCCTCGACTGGGAGTTCAGAACTCGCCAAAGTTACTCGACAATCTTTCAGCAGCAACGCAACAACAACACAGCCGGTCTTCTACCGGTAAAGCAAAGTGGAGCAGTATGGATTTTATTTCTCCTCCCCACTTGTAAGTGCTTAAATGTTGCAGGAGATTTGCAGTAGAGTTTTTCCAGAGACAGGACTGCAGCTACGCTCGTCATGGAGGTGGAGGTGGAGGTGGTTTTTGTGAGGCTATTATTCTTTATTTCCATATAGACAGGCTGGATTATAGGATGGGTTTAAAGAGCTTCAAGCACAGACTTATAACAAGCACTCCGACTCCAGCAATAAAAAGCAACATCCACACCTGATTTACGTTTGCATCACTCCCGACTTCTGTGTCTAAATGACCCGATTTTAATGTCGAGGACCATCACTGGCAACGACAGTGGAGGAGCGTGTGGTGTCTGAGCCCAAGGGTCAGGAATGCTGCCGGAAGCACGCCTGTCCATTTATGAGATTCACTGGGTTTTACTCTTGAATTTTGTCCCACTGTATCGAACTTTCAACAAAGTTCTTGTCTAATGTCCAGAAGCATCCAAGAAAAACATTCAGTAACTTCATGTGGCCTGTGCCATCTTTTTCTGTGACTTCTTCCTTGTAATTATTCAGCTTGTAAATACATCAGCTTCAGGGTGGCTTATTGCACAAGTTTAACATAGTCATGACTTTCAAGGGGGGAGGAGCTAAAATCAGGTATGGTTTTTTTGAGCATGTGTAGACGTAATAGGTTTCACGCTCTGTGTCACACAGCTCGTCTGCTCTTGGCCTGCATGAGGTCAAAGAGAAAGGATGAGCTCCAACCATCTGCTGTTCAATGACAACAGAGCAACCAAAGTTTCATCAAAACTCAGAGTGAGAACGATGAGCATCATTTTAAACTGTGGGAATCATGCAAAGCTGCTCTAATACAGTTCAATAAAAATGAGCATTCAACACTGAACACTACGACA